TCATCCAGCTCTACACCTTGTTATCTCAGTTAAAAATATTATGTTCTATAAAATGATGTGACAGTACAATGTTGTCAAAAGGTACAGCATTTGTTGAAAATGTTTTGTGAGCAGATGGCTTCACAAGTAACATTTCAGGATCTGTTCTTTTAGTGCTCCAATGTACTTACAGTGGCATTGTATGTTGTGAGATGTACTGTGCTGTATACAATGTGCTTATTGCATTTTTGTTCTTAGCTTTGAATATTTCTATCAGACAACCTCCTCCTCCTGCACCCCGTCTGTGTTCTACAACCCTGCACCACCCTTTCCAACTGTCCGAATGAACAAAAACAGAAATTGCTGGAAAAGCTCAGCAGTACTGGCAGAATCCAAACACAGAAACTAGAGTTACTGTTTTGGGTCCAGTGTACCTTCCTCACAACTCAGATCTGAACTATTTTGAGTACAGTCAAAAAGCCCTTACAAATATTGCAAATGAACAGTAAAAACAGTCATGACAAATTTTTAATACCTAAACAAATTAGACTTTCCACTGGTGAATGTAGCCTCGTACAATTTTATCCTACATTATTGAACTTCTGGAACACAGAAGTTTGTGAGTCCCAAAATCAATTATTACACAGTTGAAGAACAAAGGCTTTCTGTTAATCAATTGCACACAGTTGACAGATCAATGTATTTGCAGCAGCAACAATCGGAGGAGATGTGGCTACTCACAATCAATTCGAATTTGCTCCATCTCCGTCACCTCTGCTATTGATTCCTTCAGCTCCTCCACAAACTTCTGTAGTTCCTCTGAACTCTGTGCACAGAAACTCAGTGCCTGCTTCTTCTCTGAACCAGAAGCAGATGATATGAGAGTGATCCCATGAGGATAAACTAATAGAGAAAAATTACAGCCATTAGCACAGGTAAATATAACCCTATCACATTCTTATTATTAGCTTGCTCTGTGCATCTTCTGAGTAGGAGGACAGATGAGTGCATCACAAACAATTAATCTTAACTTGCACAACGTGAAACTTGATGCAAAATTAAAAATACCTGAAGGGTATGTCTAGGGAAGTATATTTTTTATAATTTGTGAGATCAAAATTGGGTACTTGATAGTATGATAAATTGTCACCTTAAGAGTTCAATCCCGTAACATCATCATTAGGTCATCAGCCACTTTGGTGGGGTACAGTTCAGTGTAATGTTGCTGCCTGCAGTGTGGAACACCTCCTTATTAAAGCTCCTGTTGTTTAACACTTCAGCACCCTAGTTTTTCTTGGAACGTAAAAGGTGAAATCTTAATCTTCAGGTGATGTGTGATTACCACATGGTGAATAAATGTCCCTTGGATTATGGACATTATTCAGTCTCCATTACTATTTGTATCTGTTAATTTTGGGGGATCATGATCACAGTTACTTAACAATTTGTAGCAATTTTCTGATAGTTTTTGTTGTATTTAAGAAGCAACTGTTTGGATACGACGCATTTGTTCATTAGAAACAGAAAGTATACGATGGTGACAAATGAGAACCTCTCACTGATTTTGAAGCTGTTCTGTAGAATGGAGGAGTCAGAGTGACAGTTTTGAAGTGGTGGAATGTTTGATCTTCTATGTCATGTCCGTCTTTCCACACCCCTTGATTTCCATAATATCCAAAACTCTATGAATCTCAGTCTTCAATTTATATGATTATGGAGCACCCACACCACTATAACTCATAAAATGCCCAAGATCATCTGAGGGTTAATTAATCCTTTAAGTAATCCTCAATCCAAAGTGGTCTTGTGGTGTAATGGCATTATATCTACCTCAAACCTAGAAGATCCACATTTAAGTCCCACCTCAGGGTGTGATGGTCACAGAGGTATATCAAAAGACATCCAAACGTGTCAATTAAAAGGGAATCCTCAACCTAAACTAATATGTTACCCCAAATCCCTTGAGCTCAGGAGGTGATAATGACTGTGACTGATATCCCTAACTTTGTAAGAGTATTCCAAGATGAAAAATATCCAGTGAGTCAAAACAGAAAAAGGAGTAGTAACACCTTGAACTAATCATGTGTTACCCAGAAGCAAAAGCCACTATTACTTGGAAATGTTTGTACTGGTCCTTCATGTTGAAATATGGGAGACAAAATAGACCTATACATATCATTCACAAGTTTTACCTTTTTCTTTTCCTTCTAATAGAAAAGATAGTGTAAATTTAGGCACACCAGGGCTAACTTCTGTACTCTTCTTTAAAATAATCTCATGAGATCTTTTACTTCCAGCCAAAGATGGCATTTCTGGCTGTGCAGTCTTCACTCAATGCTATATTGGAGTTTCAGCCTTGACTTTTGGACCAAGTACTGAAGTGGGACTAGATACCACAAGCTTCTGACTTATAGGTGACACCACTACTACCTGCTGTTTCCTCCAATTGGAAATTTTAGAACTGATGGGTGTGACCTCAGGATAAGGAGTTGAGATGACCCAAAATGTCTTCACTCAAAGGATTGGAAAAGTTAGGAAATTTCTAACCCAGAACACTGTATAATCTCAGTTGTTGAAGATATTGGAGGTTGAGATCAATAGATTTTTGGACTTTAAAGGAATCAAGCAATGCAAGGATTGGGCAAAAAATAGAGTTGAAGCTGAAGGTCAGTTTGTGGATTTATGAATCAAGCTCAAGGAGTCTTTGGGCCATTCAGCCACATGAAATAGAAGGAGTTGCAAAAAGCTGCATTGTGGAAGTAGAACATATTTTTGGTAACATTTTTAATGTGAATTCTCATTTAATTTTACAGTCAAATTTCAGAATTAGCTAATGACTGTAATAGTCAAAAAGTGTTAGGTTTTATAGCAACAGTCTCCAATAATGAATTCATAAGCTCAAGTGAATTATTTTGGGGATTTGTGCATCTCTTAAAGTTTTGGTTTAACAAATTGAAATGCAAAAGTTGAATGTAAGTGGCAATAGTGTAAAATATGCTGCCACTCAGATCCTGACCTCATGACAGTTTTGATTCAAATATGAACCAAAGAGCTGGCAAAATTGAAGTTAATGGAAATCAAGGGAAAATTCTCCACTAGTTTGTATCATACCTGGCACAAAGGAAGACAGATGTGGTTGCTGGAGGCCAATCACCTCAGTCTAAGGACATTGCTACAGGAAGTCCTCAGGATAATATCTCAGACCAACCATCTTCAGCTGCTTCATCAATTACTTTCCTTCCCTCATTAGGTCAGAAGTGAAGACATCGCTGATGATTGCAAAATGCTTGGTACCATTTGCAGCTCCTCAGACACTGAAGCAAGACCCAGGCAACCTTCAGGCTCAACTGGTTAAGTGGCAAGTAGAATTTGTGCCACACAGAATCTAACTATCTCCCCTTGACATTCAATGGCATTATTGCTGAATCTCCCTTTATCAACATCCTGAATGTCACTACTTACCAGAACCTGAACTGGACCAGCCATATAAATACGGTTCTAAGGCCAAGTGAGAAGAAGGAATTGGCTACCCTCCTCTTAACCCGTCTGGTCAGTCGCAACAAATATTTTTATTTTATTTTTAGCACTCAGCTATCGTGCTTCAATTAAATTTATTTCACTAGAAGGTGACATAGCTAGTTATCATAGCTAATTACAGAAAGAGAGGGGTAGGGGGAGGAGAGAGAGAGACGGTATTTCAGTTTCTCCTGTTATGAATCCATGTATTTCTCTCTGCTGTGCTGTTTATATGTTATTGTTGAAATATAGTTCAGTCTGTATTCCAGAGTCTAGCTCCATTGTCTTCTCAAGCTGGCTAAGTGACAGGTGAGTCTTTTTATCTCCCAATAGGTGAAGCTTTCATACAGATGTGAATGAAACAGGAGATACAAATTTCTTAAAGCTGACTCAGTTTACCTGGTTCTCTTTTAGAACTGACAGTTTAACTCATTCCTCATCAGTCTTATGGTACTTGCCTCAGTCTCTGGTCAGGTGAGCATTGCTGTCACTTTAGGTACATGCTTCTTCCTTTTCAAATCTATTTTAGTCCATGAAAGGTCTCAGTTATAATAATCAGGTGATGGACGTTAAAATTCGATACTCCATATCTGCCTTCATTGCAACAACTGTGGGTTCAAGAGCAGGTTGGAGGCTGGAAATTCTGTGTTACATAACTCACCTCAATGCTCCCTAAAGTTTGTCCGTCGTCTACAAGGCAGGAGTCAGGAATGTTAAGGAATACTCTCCACTTATCTGGATGAATGCAGCTTCAACAACACTCAAGAAGGTCAGACCATCCAGGCCAAAGCAGCCCCTTCACTGGCACTCTAACCACCAACTTAACCATTTACTTCCTCCACCACTGACACACAGTGACCGCAGTATGTACTATATTCTAGAGCAGCTGCAGCAGATCACCAACGTTGCTGCATCAGCTCCTTCCAAACCCATGTCCTCTACAGCGACAAGAGCAAAGGTAAAAGATCTAGGGGTGAACCATCACCTGCAAGATGCCCACCAAGCCACGCATTATCCTAACTTGGGATTGTACCCCCACTCCTTCATATCACTACTGCAAAATCCTGGAACTTCCCTACAGCCCTTTGGGTTTACCTGCACATTGTGGATTGCAGCAATTCAAGAATGTGGCTCACTAACACCTTCTCAAAGGCAATTTGGGATCAACAACAAATGGTGGTCTTTCCAGGAATACCCTCATCCCATTAAAGAATAAAAGATTCGCCAGCAATTATGCTTTTGTCCTGAATTTGTTTTAACAAGTTCGTGTGAAGCATTTATAATTACAAGTTGTGATTGTTTTCATTTCTAATCAGCAGGGGTTTACAATGGCAGCTGAACTGATTTTATCTGTTTAACACTATAAAAGGTCACAAATAATCTTAATTCATTGATTACATCCATAGAGATTGGGAACCACAACTATGCTTTAACCCAACAAGAAGTAACATGAGTCAAAAATATTTACACTCAGTCTCAAACAGATGAATTTGCATTCCCAGAAGGCCAACAGACTTGTAGAAAGTGTATGTAGCAGAACTTCTCTTCTTTGCACACAGTTTAAGTATCTGTAAGGCAATAGATTACAAGATTAAATAAGTTCTTTAAATTGAGTCATGTGTAATTACGTATCGCAAGAGCCTTGACATTCAAAGGTTATTGCTATCCCACGTACTGTAATAAATGAATTACAGGATCTTACACTGAATGTGTTGCCAAACACAGGTGAATAAGAGCAATAGCAAGTGGAGAAAACAGGACTCAGCTCTCCCTGACTGTGATAGAATCCACAGCCTAGTCTGAAGCAGACTGATAAGTATGCATTAGCAATTGCTCAGTAGTTGCACCAACTGTCAGTGATCTTTCATATCATGTTGGACAAGATGGAGGAGCTCACTTTATAATTTATGTGAGATCATCATGACAATTCAGTCACACTGTGTTCTCAGCTCTATACAGCTGCTGTATGGTCCTCAGTTAGAGAGAGTGTGCTGACATCTCACACACTGTCACTGCTGCCACTCAAGGTCAGGATTCCAGGGTCTCTATAAAATTGTTTCTGGATGTCAATGGTGTGCTCTATCAGGAGGCAAGGTTTTGATTACATTTGCTGTGAGGAAGACGCAAAACAGTACCTGGAGGAACTTCTGGCTTAGTGAGTAGGCAAAAACTGGGAATATAATGTGGAAAAATGTGAGGTTATACACTTTAGTATGAAGAACAGATGTGCAGAGTATTTCTTAAATGGTAAGAGGTTAGAAAGTGTAAATGTGCTAAGGGACCGAGGTGTCCTTGTCATTCAGTCTCTGAAGCTAATATGTAGGTGCAGCAAGCTGTAAGGAAGGTTTATTGCAAGAGGATTTGAGTACAGGAGTAGAGATATCTTGCTTCAATTGTCTAAGTCATTGGTTAGACTGCACCTGGAGTACTGTGTGCAGTTTTGGTCTCCTTTCCTCAGGAAGGATATTGCTGCCATGGAGGGAGTGCAACAAAGGTTCATCAAATTTCTTTCTGGAATAGAACAACTGTCCTACGAAGAGAGATTGGGCAAATTTGATCTGTACTCTCAGAGTTTTAAAGAACGAGAAGTGATCTCGTTGAAACTTATAAAATACTTAAATGGCTAGACAGGGTAGATGCAGGTAAGACATTGCCTCTGGTGGTGGAGGCTAGAACCAGGAAACACAACTAAAAATAAGGGGGATATCGCTTAGCTTCAAGACGAGGGGGACATTTTTATTGGGAGGGTTGTGAATCTTTGGAATTCTCTACCCCAGAGAACTGTGGAAGCTCAGTCTTTGAAGATGTTTAAAATAGAGGTTGATAGATTTCTGAACCACCGATATAGGGTTTTGGAGTGGGGTGGATAAAAAGCATTGCAGAGTTCGATCAACCTTGAATGTATTAAATGATAAGTAGGTGTGACAAGTTGAATGGCCTATACCCGATCCTATGTTTCTATCTTAGTTTAGCACCTGTACGAGGTTTCTTAATATACAAGCTGAGCAATGTTTGCCGTAAACAGCCGTTGTTCCTGGACAGTCAGCCACTGAACCATTTTGAGCTCTATGTTGGAGACCAGAAATGTGCAGTAAATGATGCCTAGTGCAATTAATTCACTCAGGCACTCTCAGCAGGTTGTCTAACGGTGCTAATGATTTCAGCTTCAGTTTGGAATAAACCAGAGATATTAAAATGTGATAGTATTTTTTTCATTTTGGGTGCCATTCCTACATCTAAGCTCAAATGTAAAGTACAGCTATTTGGACAAAGAATATTAGTTTATTCAGAAATGTATCCAACTCCAAGAGAAGGAGTGAATCAAACGATGCCATTTCATGCACCAGTTGCAGCAATCCTTTTGGGTTTTAACCAATGTTTAACCAACGCACACTGTCAAACTGTATCAAATAGCTGGAGTATTTTCATTTGTGCATTGTCTGCTTATTCAGATCTGTAGTTATTAACATTCATTGCCATACACTAAAGGAGAGATTCTTACCACAACTAAGTCATTAAACAGAAAAACTTCTCGCTGATGTGCTGCTTGCTTCTGTGCTTTGTTGACGTCCATGATCTCAAAGAGCCGGCTGCAGCAAACCAACCTCCGGTGGGGAACTGAAAGGGCCTAGGAAAACCACCAAACAATGAGAGTGCTGGAGGCTGGGATGAGGATTCTCACATGTCACTTTAGAAATCAGCAGTTGAGGTAATCAGACAATACGCTGGAGTTTTATTGGCATATTATGCGTTGTGAACCCATGTAGGTGACAAATGAACTGTGGTGATGTTTTACCAGACCACGGACAATTAACAGGCCGTCAGAGTCTCTGTATCACTTAAAGTGGTTGCCCACCTCTCTGAGCTGCTGTAGCCAAGCAGCCTTGGCGGAAATATGAATACAGGCAGGTGTCTGTTCTGAATGGTAACTACTGGTAGCTTATGGTTGGGCAAGTTGCTGCCACCAAGTGAGACTTAACAAGAAGAGGCTCTTGTTTTAATCACAGTACAGTTTACTGCAGGTACAAGTTAGATTAGTAAGATAAACATTTTATTGGGGGAGGGGTACCCTTTTGAAAAAAGATATGAGGAAACTTTTGTTTTGTCTCTCAGAGGCTTGAGCGTCTTTGGAATTCCCTTCCTCAAAAAACAGTGGATGCAGACTCTTTAAATAATTTTAAGGCAGAGGTAGATAGATTCTTGATTATCAGAGGGATGACAGATTATTGGGGATATGCAGGAATGTGGAATTGAGATTAAAATCAGATTAGCCATGATTTTATTGAATGGCAGAGCAGGCTTGAAGGGCCAACTGGCCTATTTTTGTCCCTTTGTTAGTTGTATGTAATAAGACTTTTTGGGACTTAGGATCTAAGACATCACTCCACAAGATCCTCAGCTTCACTCCAAGAGATTTAAAACATTATCCCTGCCTAAACCAGTATGACATCATCAGATTGTGTGGAGCTTCATGTTGTCTCGAACATTAACCGTTGCAGCACCATTATCTTCTCCAACAAGCTTTATTACCTATAGTCTCCTCATAGCCTCAGACTGACTGCTAACTTGCGATATACTACATTGTGTTTAAGACAAGAGCCTCTTCTCATTAAGACTCTTCATCATGGAAGCAATTTACACCAACCATAAATTGGTAGTGGTTGGCATTTCATACCAAATACAACAACTCTCTCTGCATAGACTTGGCTGCTTGGGAAGGAGAGGGTGCCTCAAAGAAAGGTGCCTTCAAAACGCCATCACAAAATGACTTATGCCAGGGTCAAGCAGACAGGTTCCAGAGATGGAAGAGGGATGAAGCTTTCAGCGTCATTGTCAGGTCCATGGGTGTGGTCACTGCCCCTTAAGGGTTCTACCATGTGCCATGGAATCTCAGTAAAGTCTCCGCTACTGTGGGAAGCCACTTGGAGGTGACTTTGATGAATCTGGGGGACTTTCCACTGGATATAAGTGGGGGTGGTGGAGAACCATCAACAGTTTAATTATGTATCTATGATTGACAGACAGCTGTGCTGCTGCCATCCCAACTTTGGTAATATTACATGGTGATGGAAGGGCTTCCCTCCTGAAACCTTCGACCATCATTTTCCCATCTATCTCACCCCACAAAATTGTATTCAGCATGCCTGATCTTAATGCTCCTTTTTGACCATTTTTCTGCTTGATATTGAAGCTTAACCCAATTATTGAAACCAAGAACTTCTGTTTAAAAAACTGTCTGAAGAAGTCCTTGTAAATAGCTTGTTCCGGCATTGAAAGAATCCCAAACTAAAAAGGATTAAATGCTGCTTCTATTTCTCCCTAATTCCCAGTCCATATCAGAAAATTATGGTTTGCAGATCCTTTCAGGATTATCTCCATATGGAGTTGATTTCCATTAACTTGACACTTCAAGCAGAATTTTGATTCAGAACAGAATTCTCAAAGACCAAATTACTTCCGATACACCCCTGTAATTTAGCACAATTCCCCATTTACTTACCTTGTATTGAGTTCCAATGGATCCCACTCAATAACCTTTTAACAGACCAAACTAATCTCAGTCCCAATGCACAGGTTTGAGAAAATGGGATTGAATAAAAGCGTTTTCTGCTTTCAAAGCTGAAGAGAATTCAGCTGGTGGAAAATAATTTCCATTTATTTTTCACTGTATTGAGTTCCATTGAATCAAATCACTTCTCATGTTCCACATTAGAAAGGATTTCAGTGGAATAAATTAGCTGACATTCATGCCAGTTGCATTAAACTTTAATGTCTCAAGCTGTGGAAAATAAACAATATCATTAAACAACTGGTTGTGCTTCAAAATCAGTGATGAGCAGTTGAACAACTGATCGGGGTGCGAGCCTCCGTTCAGTTATTGCACTCCTGTCACCTAGACAGAAGGCTGTGTTTTTATGATCTTTTTCATAGATAAGCCCAAAATCAGACACTTTAGTATAAAAGGGAGAGAGCTGCATTGTTGAAGTTCTATCTTTTAATGAGAATTTTTCAAATACAAGATTTTTGTGTTTTAAACTGACCTATTCATGTAGGGTAAAAGGAAGGAAAGAAGGTGGTTGTGTGATCTGTTCTGAATTCTGCTGACCAGCCTAGTGGCTTGGTGTTAAAGATTAAAGGATTAAAGTTATCAGGATGTTTATAGGGAAAAAGGTGCAAAATATTCACATCTATAAACAATGGCCGGAAAAGCTGTGCTGATGGTGGGTAAACTTAATTTCCAAGATCCAGGGTGATATTAGGAATGTTAGTCTTTGTAAATAATTATATTTTATTTTGTTGATTTAATTCCAAGCTTCAAAAACATTGGGGGTTGAGAGGATAGCAAATTAGCATTTTGACATATCTAAAAACGGCCATACGATTCCCAAGGAGATTGCCTTTCAGAGAGGAAGAGTCCACAGGAAGGCATTATAGGATAGTAATGCAGATTTTCCTAAATCTCAGTGAATCTTTCAGATAGGATCAATCGGCAAGAATCAGAGGGAGATAGACAGAATAGAGGAATAAGGCAGCAGGTTCACCATACAAACTTGAAGTGAAACTCACTCTGGGATTGAAGAGACCAAGCGCTTAAATGTGTCTGGAAGGATCATGTAGCTTTGGCTAGATGGAGGAATTTCCAATTCATCTATCATAGTGGGAGTCAATTCTAGGAGTAACATTTACTTGGAAGGAAAAGGACAATGGACCTAAGAATATCTTTGGACTAGTTCCTGGATAATGAATTGTCTACTTAAGTGTAAAGCTTAACCTAAAGCCAACAATTTGGACATCAACAAAAATTAAGTAGGTTATCCTCTGAATAGTTTAGAAAATAGATTGCCTCTTAAATAGTGTAAAATCCATGTTAATTTAGCTTGTGTGAAATAGTAAAAGTCTTAAGACTTGAAATATTGTTTTATGATCTATTTATTTATTCACTGGAAGTTCAAATTAAAAGTTTTCAATCTCTACAGGGATTATTACTGACATTATTGCTTTCACAAGGGGAGGTAAAATCTTGTATGGCATTATTCCAGTGCTCCAGCCAATATTTATCCTACTAGCAGAAGCTTCAAAACAATCTCATCATGAGGAAATGGAAGGTTCTTAAAGACAAGTTCTTACAAATCTTAATCCAAATGCAATCCAGATTTAATCACAAAATATAAATCATTTCTTTGAGTTCAAATGTAATTTTTTTTCACATATACATCCTACTCCTTGCGATATTCTATATGTTGTTTAGTATAAAATTCAACGCTCATACATCTTTGCCTATTAGAATGTTGACAACACTGAACACACAGCAGCTTTACCATAAATATTTCTGTTTGCCAACACAACAAATACTCTACATTCCCCCAGAAAATAATTCTACAAAGCACTTACAATGTTTTGTCAATATGGTAATGTGTACAAAGTCAAATGTTTTTATTTTCCATTATTTTATTTCTAGCAGTAAATAGATGCACTGAAATTCATAAAAGTTGAAGGACTTTTTTATTGCCCATTAAGCAAGTAGAATGTGTTAGATATCTTAAATAGGTCATAAAATGTTTTGAATAGTTGATGTTTTAGATTTTTAACCTAAACCAGTCCTGATTGCATTGGACTGAAGCAAATCCCACAGGCTAGATTTGATTCATAAGCATTAAAACAGTAGTGATCTCAACTGTTTTGTTTTGTGTTAAAATAAGTTTATAAATCTAGTGACAGATTGGAATAGCCAGAACTACTAAATGAAATTGTGTTCAGGTTTATGGAATCTCAATACTTATTTCTTTCAGATCACACAAATGCTTTTGACTACTGGAAGAAAATGCCAATCTGTAATTTAAATCTTCCACAAAAACATGTGTTGCCAACTTTGATAAATCTCTTTTGGGTTCCATTTAATGAAGATTTTAGGGAAAAGGTGGTGAGGCTCTGAGAATGGCAGAGAGCCCTGCCAGATGTAAATACGGGTAAGAGTTACAATTATAATATACGACAACACAAGACTAATGGACATTGACTATTTCATATCCTCTAGTGTCAGGATCACACACTCTGAATCAGGTGCGTGCAGATCACAACTTCATCTACTCTAAATTTCAAAGAACATTTTAACTTATATATATGTTTAATGATTAGATACCAAAACATCCTTACAGTCCTCTTGGGTGATAATAACAATGTAAAAATTAATCAACTAATCAATTAATCAACAGTTTAAAGCTGTGAACCTATGCCCTAGACTATAGATGGAAATTATTTTCTGTTAACCTGTTAGGACATTTCATGACACATCTCCAGGACAGGTGGATCACGAACGTATACCTTTTGACCCAGGGAATATAGATCAACACGATCTCAAATCCATCTTATTTGGAACTCTTATGATCATGCAGGTAATCATAAAAACGATGTGAGATATTATAGCTGAGCAAGATAAAGGACCCTGGAGAAAATGCTGGAAGAAGTAGGCAATTTGATTCTAGGGACAGGAGTTTCAATTATGTGGAGAAACCAGAAAAGCTGATATTGTTTGCATTAAAGCAGAGAAAGTCAAAGGATGATTGAATATAAGTATTCACAATTCTGAGGCTTTAAGAGAGAACAGAAGTGGAGAAACTATTTCCGTTGAAGGGAGAGTTGATAATGACAGGGTACAGATTTACACTAACTGGCAAAAAGTCAAGGGTAAAGAGTAGAAGAAATGTCCAAGTAAAAGTGTATGTGTGTGTGTGTGTGTGAGAGCGCATGCGCATGCATGCACGTGTCAGTCAAAGGCAGACAACTCAGCCTGCTTCTCTCTCGTGAGAGAGAAAAGGATGTATTCAGCTTCCTTGGAAAACACATTCTCAATAAACATTACTTCCCCCAACTAGCCCGCACCCTGTCGAAAGCAGCAATGATTGGAAAAATGGGAAATGTTGTAAATACCTTCTGATCTGAGTGGGAAAGTATCTGAGACATAAAGCATAATTTTCCCCTTCCTGGTGTGGTATGAGTAATGGCGAGAATGATGATAACACGGTGAGAATGAAAAATTGAAATACTCAATGTTGAGAAATAATGTCCTATAATCCCAATTTTCCTCTCAGATTTTAAATGGTGAATTCAAAATCTCATCACTGAGAGATAATCCCATTGTTTCCATGTATTTGCATGTTTTAAAAACCCAAATCAACTTGTGTATGTTCAACTTCCCATTCTCCTCTTCTCCATCAAGAAACTAAATGGTGCAAATCCCCAACAAATAAAACAATGTGGGTACGTGATAGCTGTATCTTGCTGATGCTTGTCCTGGCTATCTTGCAATTATGTCTTCAGAGTTCCTGGCATGTTCCATGGCCACTATCTCCTCAAACCTTCATTATAGGTAGATCATCTGAGTGTCATGGAGACATGAGTCTGGGGCTGGGTTGTGGTCAGTTGCAAAATGTCCTGATTCAGTGGTTAGCACTGCTGCCTCACAGTGCCAGGAACTCTGGTTCGATTCCACCCTCGGGCGACTGTCTGTGTAGAGTTGGCACATTCTCCCCATGTCAGTGTGGGTTTCCTCTGGGTGCTCCCGTTTCTTCCTACAGTCCAAAGATGTGCAGGTTAGGTGGATTAGCCATGCTAAATTGCCCAGAGTGTTCAGGGATGTGTAGATTAGGTGGGTAATGGGGGGATGGGTCTGGGTGGGATGCTCTGAGGGTCGGTGTGGACTTGTTGGGCTGAAGGGTCTGTTTGCACACTGTAGGGATTCTATGATTCTATGAAAGTCAGTATGGAGGAGCTGCCACGGTGAGTGGCAAGAAAATAGTGGTCAAGAAACTTACCAGGGGGCCATCCATGGAGTTCTGCAGAAAGTAGCCAACTCATATCTGGGGATAGATTTAATTCTATTGAGTGACTGTGATAGGGGGCAATTGGAGAGGGTAGAGAACAATCGCATAGAATCATAGGATCATAGACACCCTACGATGTGGAAGAAGATCATGTGGCCCATCGAGTCTGCACCAACCCGCTGAAGAGCATCCTACCCAGACACAGCCCCAGCCCCCTAACCTAGCCCTGTAACCCCACATTTCCCATGGCTAATCCACCTACCCTCCACACCCCTGGACACAATGGGGAAATTTAACATGGCCAACCCACCTAACCTGCACATCTTTGGACTTCATTGTGAATGGGAGGGGATTGGTATGAGTTATGGTAGGTCTGACCTCTACAAGACAAGATACTAGGCTAACAAGAGCATGGGAATTTCCAATGTCATGTTCCTGGATATAAAGTGGGCACATTAATAATTACATAAAGGGGTTCAACTGAAATGGGGGTGGGTGAAAGATTCATTGGAACCACAAGGGAGGCAACAGAAAAGAGATCATGATGAGTGTGAGGGAATTTGTGTTTCCTCGGCAGAACCTGCAAACAACTCCCATAAACACAAAGTTGGAATCTTGCCATTTTGAATCAAAAACGAACTGCACGATAAATGGTTGCCACCATGTACAAAGTGGATAAGTAAGATAGTGTTTTTCCTTTGGGAGTCGAGTAAAAATCTTGGAAATGAGATCCTGCTAAGGCTATTTGCATTAATCATGTCACTACTAATTCAGTAATGCTACCTATTTGGCTTCAAGTTGCACTTCATCAGGAGGCCATTCATTGTTCAAAAACACTTAATAAAAATTAGGGCCTTAACCAATCCTGAGCATTACATTTGTGTGCTAATTGCCTCCTTGTTAAATAAGTTAAACAGGTGTAATGAAAACAACTGAAGCTCCCATTTACCAGTCACGTCCACTGATGGTAGTGGTGGGCAATGTTTCACAGCATTTAGATTCTCAAACTGAAATGGAACAAGAGGTCACGAATATAGAGTGAGAGGGGGTAGATTCAAAACTGAGACAAGGAGAAACTACTTCTGTCAGAGGGTTGGGAATCTGTGGAACTCACTGCCCCAGAGTGCAGTGGAGGCAAAATTAATCAACAGATTCGAGAAAGAAATAGATATGTTTCTGATGAAAAGCAGGATAAAGGGCTATGGGGAGCAGGCAGGAAAGTGGAGTTGAGATGAGGATAAGATCAGCCATGGTCATGTTAAATGGCAGAGTGGGCTCAAAAGGCTGGGTTGCCTACTCCCGCTCCTAATTCTTATGTTCCTATGTATGGAAGCAAAGACATGGCCTGTGACATGGCAGGAAGCCTTTTCTTTTGGGGATGATGGGAACGCACTATCATGTTCGCATACTGGGAGTGCATGCACTATCATGGTGACATCCTGGCAGAGCCTTGAAGGGCTTCCTTCAGAAGCCTCCATGCCACTTTTTTTGAGGGTGTAACATTTTTGCCAAAAGCAAACTATCTAAACCTTTGCCTTCAGTTGGATGTGTTCCTTCAGCTGTCACCCAGACCACTGGAAGAATTGACACAGAGGAGTCAGATATTTCACCTTAAGGGTTAAAGAGAAAACTCTCATCCAGCCACAAAGCATTGAGAAGAGCCAGTAACAAAACCATTGTTATTATAGATGATTTATGACAACAAGTTGTCCATTAAGGGCATGAAAAGGAAAAAAAATCTGGAACAACTAAACTTGCAGCACACAACTATTATTGCTCTCAAGTTATAACAGAGACACAAATAGTCAATAAAATTCAGTGAACTTACTGCTTTCATCCCCACGATTGATTTTTCTACCTTGGTAACATATGTCACGTGATCTTCATTGGACTTCAATTCCTTCTGTTGAATTCGTTCATAAATACCAACAACCATCTCACGAGGAATGTCCACTCCATCATCCACACCTCATTAGGGAATGGAAAAGGATGAGAAGACAGAAATAGTATGTAAATTCAAGGAAGATGGATTCAGTTTCGAGTTAAATTATCCATCTTTGAAGTCCATATATTTAAACACATTAAAAGTTAAAAACAAATGTACAGACATGAAAAATAATTTGTTTTACTGATCCTCCTGCAAGGATCCTCATTCTCGGGTATTCATGCAGTGATTCAAAAGGATAGTTTTTGTTTTACAGTTAAGTACATTATTATACTCACCAATCACTTCTTCTGCTTGATCTAAGAGTGGAGGGGGAGGGCTGAGGTCAGGTAGTTATGATTCCAATTCCCCGTCAATTGGTCAGCTCATTTTCCAATGGCATTTTCACTTTAATTTTGAGCACTCACTCAAGTGGAACTAACCCCAAGTTAAAATTAATTCCATTTCATAAAAATCCAATTAAAACTGTACTGTTGCAATCATGGTACATCCAAACCTGTCAGCCAGAATTCTTATGTGGGTGATTTTATTACAGTGCTGTCCTTCTGCTCATTAATGTCAAATGATTTTTACTTGCTGTAACTTCCTTCTAGACTCGTCATTAGCCTAGAAAGCAGTTTCGAAACAAGAAAACCACCCTTCACTGGCTTGTCCTAATTAAAAGAGATGGAACTACATTCTGGTGTAATGTTTAAAGTCCAGCAGCTAGTTAAAGGGGAACATCATTTCTCAACAGGATGGCCTCAAGATACCAGCAGGTAGCAGGGTCCTCAGATTTCCATAAAAATCACCAAATAAAAACCGAAAGAACTGCGGATGCTGTAAATCAGGAACAAAAA